GCACATCTTTCGAGAGCTGTCGGTATTGCTTTCTTCAATCAAGGCTTCAATCAAGCCATTGATTTAGGCTTTGGCACTGATACGGAGGCTGGTTCAACATGTTTAGCCCTCCGACCAGCTTCTTTTGCTTGTACGAAATTGCAGAGAGAGATAACGCCATGGGAGTGGAGAAGAAAGAAAACATCGATCTTTGCATAAAGTAAACCCTCTTGATGTCTTTGTTTAAGCATGTAATAAAACATTGATCTTTTCATAAAGTAAACCCTCTTGATATCTTTGTTTAAGCATGTAATAAAACATCGATCTTTTCATAAAGTAAATCCTCTTCAATGTCTTTGTTCTAGGCATGTAATTAAAATCCCTCTGATGTGGTACATGGGCCTTCACTCTTGTTGAAACTTGATAGAAAGAGGCCCATGAATTTTCATGTATATTAGATTGTCATGCACAAGAAATCTTTGGTTGCTTCTCTAGTTTCTAGGGTTTATCTCACGGAGAGAAATCTAACCCTTGTGAACTGTGACCAATCATTCAACTGCAGATTTATTTTAAACCCTGACAAGAGGATTTGAAAAATCTCGATGGAGACATGAACAAGAAGAAGAGTTCCAGAGGAGATATTGTCGGATATACTTGCGAGATTAACTATGAGAAGCATCTCAAGATTCAAATCTGTCTGCAAAACATGGGAATCGGTAATACCTCACCCTTTTCTGGATGACTTATATGTTAAGAATTGCTTGACTACTTCAGGAGGACAATATCTTGACTAGATTCAAATCTTATCAGGTTGTTATCGCTTTAACACACATGATTCTAAAAACACATGTATAAACGAACTTCTAGGGTTCTCATGTTATCTCAATTTGTGCTTTCGTTGGATATGGGCATGTGGCCCACTCACAATGGTTCAGCCCACCGACACCAAAGGAGCCCAACTCAGAAAGCATGATCAAAGCTTAACCATGGTCAAATCTCAACCAAGGTTACTCCTACTGTTTTGCTATAAATACAAGTTCTCACATCACTTGAAGGGACATCTGAACATTCTTTGGACCAGAGGATAAAGAGCAAAATGTATACTTTATTCTCCAGATCAGAGAAGAACTTCCGGTCAACTACCGTTGCCGGATTGTACAAACCGTTTCACGACCTCTTATTTTCTGTAGCACGTCGGGATCTGTCCGACATGTTATCATTTTCACACTCTATTTTGTAACCTCTTTTCCTGACTTCATATTTCAATATACGAGAAATCCCGACTTCTATTCATCTATAAATTCATTGGACGACCTACTTCTTGGTTGAATAATTGGCGCGCCAGGTAGGGGGCTTGGAGATTTTTCTGACGCAAGAAACATGAATTCGGACGAGGCAATCGATCAACAACAAAACGAGGTCGTCCCACTAGTAGTCACGGAGCCGACCCAGACAACTCCAATGCAACAGAACGTCGTTGTCACTCCTAGCACGACTAATGAAGAAATCACACCCGAAGAAGAGCACGGGGTAACCCTGACCGCTGACCCACAGTTGGACTTTCGTCCATGATGGGTATCCTGATCAAGCGTTTCGATCAACACGACGAGTTTTCTCGGCAGGTGAATTCTTGACTCGACGCGCTAGCATCCGCCCAAACCGACCTACAAAGAAAGATGAGTGATGCTAGGCCGATCCGTGAATCTTCGCAACCGTAAATTAGCTCGGCCCCTTTCTCGACCGACGGACATAGGCGACCTGCGACACAACATCGCGTAATAAACATGAACACGCCAACGCGAATCTCCATCAGCTCGTAATTGGATCGACCGACCCCCTCTCAAGGAATG